CTGGTAGTGTTGCGTCTCTCAGTCTGGTAGTGTTCCGTCTGTCAGTCTGGTAGTGTTCCGTCTCTCAGTCTGGTAGTGTTCCGTCTCTCAGTCTGGTAGTGTTCCGTCTCTCAGTCTGGTAGTGTTCCGTCTCTCAGTCTGGTAGTGTTCCGTCTCTCAGTCTGGTAGTGTTGCGTCTCTCAGTCTGGTAGTGTTATGTCTCTCAGTCTGGTAGTGTTGCGTCTCTCAGTCTGGTAGTGTTGCGTTTCCAAGTTGTCGGAAAATCCGACACCATTTAACAATAATATCATACAGACAGATAAAAGCTGTGTTGTATAAACAAGTAACCCATAGAAAACGTAACTTGTAGTGGAATTACCATCTAAAGAAAACGGGATATCATCACCACATACTATTATAATTCACCAGCTATTCTGCTGGGAATTATTCTTAAATACATTAGTCTTTGGACTTTACCATCATAAAAACATCTTATATAAATTAACTTAATTATCAATATTAAAGTAGAGTAAATGTGACCCTTCTATCACTTTCTGAAATCTGGACAAAGTAGGCCAGGCGTGAGTGAGGAAGGAGAGCAGCCATTGTTGTGTCACCTCCGAGATGTGTGGAGCAAATTCGGCTCCTATCATTCTGGACAATGTCGGCCAGTAACGTCAATAGTATGGAGTGTTAAACAGCCATTGTTTATAACGAGACCAGAGGCTCACACGGGAGCAAATTCGGCTCCTGTTAATTTTACTTGGACGTAGTGTTATGGAAACCAAAGGTACCATCTCCAACACGATGTCTACAATTCAAGTTAAGTGTTCTTTCCGAAACCCGTTTATCATTCATTTATGGCCATTAATGTCAGGATGTAGGGTGACCCGGTTAGATCACGTGGAAGCCTCAAACTAAAGGTAATTAAGCCAGGTCTTCAATGTTCCATGTACAGTTTTCTCTGATATAGCTTGTCATATATAGGTATCTGGCTTCACAGCTAGCGCACTTTTGACAGGTCAAGACGAGGATGCAAGAGTTTGTGCACCAGTTACTGGGTGATGGAAGCTACCTCAAAGAGGATAATTTGGTGTCTACACCCTAGTTATACCTGGTGGACTAACCTGCTGTACTATAAGATAAGGAACCTTTTCAATGTATGTAGTCTATTCCTGTAGTTTGATTGGCTGCATATATAAACTAATAAACCCCCCCTAATGTGTAGAGGATCGATTTGTGAGATTATAAGATTATTGCAGAAATACAGTCCACTTATCATTATACAAATTGCTATCGAAGTATATAAATTAACGTAAATATAAATTCATATAAATTAAATAAATATAAATCTCACAGGTCGGTTCCCACACAAGTCGAAGGAAGGGAAGGTTGAAAGAGAAGGAAGGGGAGGTTGAAAGAGAAGGAAGGGGGTTGAAAGAGAAGGAAGGGGGTTGAAAGAGAAGGAAGGGGGTTGAAAGAGAAGGAAGGGGGTTGAAAGAGAAGGAAGGGGGTTGAAAGAGAAGGAAGGGGGGTTGAAAGAGAAGGAAGGGGGTTGAAAGAGAAGGAAGGGGGTTGAAGGAGAAGGAAGGGAAGGTTGAAAGATAAGGAAGGGAAGGAGACAGGACAATGCTTGCTCGCTGCCATCGTTCGGGACGAAATCTTAGTTACAGACAACTAAGAGCTCTGTTTCAAGAAAGAAAAAGTTTAAAATAAAAATATAAAACAAAAAATTTTAAATATAAAAGTTAAACGTGTAAATGAAAAGCATGTTAGTAGACACCCTGTTGGGTAGCGGCCATACTGTTCTGGGTGCCGGCGGGGACGTGGCTCCTGGGGCCCGGTCTCTGAGCGGTGCTGAGGATGGTGCCAGTCCTGTGGGCCTCCTCCTGCTAGGTGTACAGCAGCTCCTGCAGCAGCTGCTGCTGTACGTGGGCATAGTGGTGGCAAACCTCCTGACGGCATTGTTAATGCTTCTCTAGAAGTACAAGAAGGGCCTCAGGGCCTTACTCAGGGGCGGCACCTCTGTGGCAGGTAGGGAGTGGAGATATTGTCCCTACCCGCCTGTGCAGGTCTTTCCCTCGTTCCCGCCTATACCGCTAGATGGTCAGCGGGTAGACGCTCAGCGGGGTCAGCTAAAGCCTCAGCTGGTAGATGCTCAGCGGATTGCTGAAGAGCGCGCACCTAGAGATACCGTACGCAAGCTACCCCGACTTCGCATTCCTTCACGACCCTCGAAGCTGTACTCCAGCATTCTTCGCCACCGTCCCTGCCCTCCATCGCCCTCCCTGTCTTTCACTCCACCGACACTGGGCTAGCCTCCATCGCCCTGCCTGTCCTCCACCACTCCACCGACACTGGGCTAGACTCCATCACCCTGCCTATCCTCCACCACCTGTCCGGCAGGGCAAGACATGCCTAGCCCAGTACGACCCTGTACCGCCTTTACGAACCTCCGCGCAATTTAAGCCGTACTGGAGGCTCTACGACCCCTCTTAGTCTTCCCCACCCCCCACGACCCCCCTGACCCCATCCAACCATCAGCCATCATCCCCACCCTCCACGACCCACGTGACCCCATCCCCCCATAATAATTCACCCCCACCCTCCACGACACACGTCACCCCTTCCCCCCATCAAAATTCACTCAAATCCTCCACGACACACGTCACCCCTTCCCCCCATAATAATTCACCCCCACCCTCCACGACACACGTCACCCCTTCCCCCCCTCATAATTCACCCCCACCCCCACCCTCCACAACCCACGTGACCCCATCCCCCCATAATAATTCACCCCCACCCTCCAACACCACGTGACCCCATCCCCCCATCAGCCTTCACCCCCACCCTCCACGACCCACGTGACTCCTTCCCCTCATTATCCTTCACACCCCACCCCACCCTCCAACACCAACGTGACCCCATCCCCCCATCAGCCTTCACCCCCACCCTCCACGACCCACGTGACTCCTTCCCCTCATTATCCTTCACCCCCACCCCCACCCTCCACGACCCACGTGACTCCTTCCCCCCATCAGCCTTCACCCCCACCCTCACCCTCCACGACCCACGTGACCCCATCCCCCCATCAAAATTCACCCCCACCTTCCACGACACACGTCACCCCATCCCCCCGTCATAATTCACCCCCACCCTCCACGACACACGTGACCCCATCCCCCCATCAAAATTCACCCCCACCCTCCACGACACACGTGACCCCATCCCCCCATCAAAATTCACCCCTACCCTCCACGACACACGTCACCCCATCCCCCCATCAAAATTCACCCCCACCCTCCACGACACACGTGACCCCATCCCCCCATCAAAATTCACCCCTACCCTCCACGACACACGTGACCCCATCCCCCCATCAAAATTCACCCCCACCCTCCACGACACACGTCACCCCAACCCCCCATCAAAATTCACCCCTACCCTCCACGACACACGTCACCCCAACCCCCCATCAAAATTCACCCCCACCCTCCACGACACACGTCACCCCAACCCCCCATCAAAATTCACCCCCACCCTCCACGACACACGTGACCCCATCCCCCCATCAAAATTCACCCCTACCCCCCACGACACACGTCACCCCATCCCCCCATCAAAATTCACCCCCACCCTCCACGACACACGTCACCCCATCCCCCCATCAAAATTCACCCCTATCCTCCACGACACACGTCACCCCAACCCCCCATCAAAATTCACCCCCACCCTCCACGACACACGTGACCCCAAACCCCCATCAAAATTCACCCCCACCCTCCACGACACACGTGACCCCATCCCCCCATCAAATTCACCCCCACCCCCCACGACACACGTCACCCCATCCCCCCATCAAAATTCACCCCCACCCTCCACGACACACGTCACCCCAAACCCCCATCAAATTCACCCCCCACCCTCCACGACACACGTCACCCCAACCCCCCATCAAAATTCACCCCCACCCTCCACGACACACGTGACCCCATCCCCCCATCAAAATTCACCCCCACCCCCCACGACACACGTCACCCCAACCCCCCATCAAAATTCACCCCCACCCTCCACGACACACGTCACCCCATCCCCCCATCAAAATTCACCCCCACCCTCCACGACACACGTGACCCCATCCCCCCATTAAAATTCACTCCTACCCTCCACGACACACGTCACCCCAACCCCCCATCAAAATTCACCCCTACCCTCCACGACACACGTGACCCCATCCCCCCATCAAAATTCACCCCCACCCTCCACGACACACGTGACCCCATCCCCCCATCAAAATTCACTCCCACCCTCCACGACACACGTGACCCCATCCCCCCGTCATAATTCACCCCCACCCCCACCCTCCACGGCCCACATCACCCCAACACCCCATCATAATTCACCCCCACCCCCCCACGACCCACGTACTGACCCCAACCCCTCATCATTCTTCACCCCCACCCCCACCCTCCACGACCCACGTACTGACCCCAACCCCTCATCATTCTTCACCCCCACCCACCACCAACCACGTGACCCCATCCCCCCACCCCCCACCCAGACCACCTCCACCCCTGGCCAGTGGCCCTCAGCCCCTGACGGAACAAGACAGGAGCCTCCCCGCCTACTGGAACGCTCCAGGCGGTGTCTACCTAAAAAGCTACTCCGTCGTCCAGCGCGCCTTGTTCAGCGGTCGCACCGTCTTGCCTAGCATCCGTTCCGTCTTAAAGAGAGGTCGTACCACCTGCGACCACGGCCATATCGACTTGTATAACGGCCATATCGCCTGATACAACGGCCGTATCGCCTGGAAACACAGAGTTTCCTCAGCGTAAACCGGACGTATTTCTTGGAGAAGACAAGCAGTGGACTGGAGTGTTTTTTTGACAGATAAAAGAGTGTCTTCACACACGAAAACAACTGTTCGCTGACGTCCCTGCAAACTCAAGTTCCTCCTTATCTACAGAGAAGTAGGATAAGGGGTAAGAGAAGAGGGGTAAGGAATGGGGAGGGGAAAGAGAATGAACATACAAGCCCGCCACTGTTACCACGCCCACAAGCCCGTCACCGCTCGCCCGTCACCGTTACCACGCCCACAAGCCCGTCACCGCTCGCCCGTCACCGTTACCACGCCCACAAGCCCGTCACCGCTCGCCTGTCACCGTTACCGCGCCCACAAGCCCGTCACTGTTACCATGCCCACAAGCCCGTCACTGTTACCATGCCCACAAGCCCGTCACCGCTCGCCCGTCACCGTTACCACGCCCACAAGCCCGTCACCGCTCGCCCGTCACCGTTTCCACGCCCACAAGCCCGTCACCGCTCGCCCGTTACCGTTACCACGCCCACAAGCCCGTCACCGATCGCCCGTCACTGTTACCACGCCCACAAGCCCGTTACCACGCCCACAAGCCCGTCAACGTTCGCCCGTCACCGTTACCACGGCCACAAGCCCGTCACCGCTCGCCCGTCACTGTTACCACGCCCATAAGTCCGTCACCGCTCGCCCGTCACTGTTACCACGCCCACAAGCCCGTCACCGTTCACCCGTCACTGTTACCACGCCCACAAGCCCGTCACCGCTCACCCGCCACTGTTACCACGCCACAAGCCCGTCACTGTCACCACGCCCACAAGCCCGTCACCGTCACCACGCCCACAAGCCCGTCACCGTCACCACGCCCACAAGCCCGTCACCGCTCGCCAAACGCACACACACCACGAGCGCTTGACACCGCTCGCCACACACACACACCACGAGCGCTTGATACCGTTCGCCACACACACCACGAGCGCTTGACACCGCTCGCCACACACACACACCACGAGCGTTTGACACCGCTCGCCACACACACCACGAGCGCTTGACACCGCTCGCCACACACACACACCACGAGCGTTTGACACCGCTCGCCACACACACACCAGGAGCGTTTGACACCGCTTGCCACACACACACACCACGAGCGCTTGACACCGCTCGCCACACACCCACGAGCGCTTGACACCGCTCGCCACACACACCACGAGCGCTTGACACCGCTCGCCACACACACACCACGAGCGTTTGACACCGCTCGCCACACACACACACCACGAGCGCTTGACACCGCTCGCCACACACACCACGAGTGCTTGACACCGCTCGCCACACACACACACCACGAGCGCTTGACACCGCTCGCCACACACACCACGAGCGCTTGACACCGCTCGCCACACACACACACCGTGAGCGCTTGACACCGCTCGCCACACACACCACGAGCGCTTGACACCGCTCGCCACACACACACACACCACGAGCGCTTGACACCGATCGCCACACACACCACGAGTGCTTGACACCGCTCGCCACACACACACACCACGAGCGCTTGACACCGCTCGCCACACACACCACGAGCGCTTGACACCGCTCGCCACACACACCACGAGCGCTTGACACCGCTCGCCACACACACCGTGAGCGCTTGACACCGCTTGCCACACACACACCACGAGCGTTTGACACCGCTCGCCACACACACCGTGAGCGCTTGACACCGCTCGCCACACACACCGTGAGCGCTTGACACCGCTCGCCACACACACCACGAGCGCTTGACACTGCTCGCCACACACACACACCGTGAGCGCTTGACACCGCTCGCCACACACACCACGAGCGCTTGACACCGCTCGCCACACACACCGTGAGCGCTTGACACCGCTCGCCACACACACCACGAGCGTTTGACACCGCTCGCCACACACACACACCACGAGCGCTTGACACCGCTCGCCACACACACACACCGTGAGCGCTTGACACCGCTCGCCACACACACCACGAGCGCATGACACCGCTCGCCACACACACCACGAGCGTTTGACACCGCTCGCCACACACACACACCGTGAGCGCTTGACACCGCTCGCCACACACACCACGAGCGCTTGACACCGCTCGCCACACACACACACACCACGAGCGCTTGACACCGCTCGCCACACACACGCCACGAGCGCTTGACACCGCTCGCCACACACACCGTGAGCGCTTGACACCGCTTGCCACACACACACCACGAGCGTTTGACACCGCTCGCCACACACACCGTGAGCGCTTGACACCGCTCGCCACACACACCGTGAGCGCTTGACACCGCTCGCCACACACACCACGAGCGCTTGACACTGCTCGCTACACACACACACCGTGAGCGCTTGACACCGCTCGCCACACACACCACGAGCGCTTGACACCGCTCGCCACACACACCGAGAGCGCTTGACACCGCTCGCCACACACACCACGAGCGTGTGAACCCGCTCGCCACACACACACACCCCGAGCGCTTGACACCGCTCGCCACACACACACACTTGAGCGCTTGACACCGCTCACACACACCACGAGCGCTTGACACCGCTCGCCACACACACCACGAGCGTTTGACACCGCTCGCCACACACACACACCACGAGCGCTTGACACCGCTCGCCACACACACACACCGTGAGCGCTTGACACCGCTCGCCACACACACCACGAGCGCTTGACACCGCTCGCCACACACACCACGAGCGCTTGACACCGCTCGCCACACACACACACCGTGAGCGCTTGAGACCGCTCGCCACACACACCACGAGCGCTTGACACCGCTCGCCACACACACCACGAGCGTTTGACACCGCTCGCCACACACACCACGAGCGGTTGACACCGCTCGCCACACACACACACACACCACGAGTGTTTGACACCGCTCGCCACACACACCACGAGCGCTTGACACCGCTCGCCACACACACCACGAGCGTTTGACACCGCTCGCCACACACACACCACGAGCGCTTGACACCGCTCGCCACACACACACCACGAGCTCTTGACACCGCTCGCCACACACACACACCACGAGCGCTTGACACCGCTCGCCACACACACCACGAGCGCTTGACACCGCTCGCCACACACACACCACGAGCTCTTGACACCGCTCGCAACACACACACACCACGAGCGCTTGACACCGCTCGCCACACACACACCATGAGCGCTTGACACCGCTCGCCACACACACACACCACGAGCGCTTGACACCGCTCGTCACACACACACACCACGAGCGCTTGACACCGCTCGCTACACACACCACGAGCGCTTGACACCGCTCGCCACAGCGGTGTCACCATAGTCTTCCTAGACTGATGGATGCCTACTACTAGGATTAGTCACAGGATTAGTCACAGAATTAGTCGTAGTAACAGTAACATTTGTGTGTTACTCTTATAGTAACGATTGTTACTACTATTACGACTGTTGCTAAGACTACGCTTGTATGTGTGGCGAGCGGTGACGGACTTGTGGGTGGCGTACAGTGACGGGCAACATTCTCACTATTAATTTCTTGACTGTGCTACTTCTTCACTATTATTTTTTTTCATAAGAAGACATTACAGTAACAAAATAGTATTTTAATTGGTTGTTCCATACCCGCATTTATTCAATATATCACTGGTAATAATGTCTTAGATTGCTGCACATCTGTATATATATATATATATATATATATATATATATATATATATATATATATATATATATATATATATATATATATATATATATATATATATATATTAGTATATTTTGGTAGCAGTCTTTCCTGTAGACATATATTATTAAATATGACCGAAAAAGTAAGATTAATAATTCTAACACGAATTTTCTCAATCTTTCGTACATTACGCTTCACTGTTGGAGGTAAATCAAAAATCACTTCTCCAAAATTCATTTTTATTTCTAGTCTGACGCGACACGGGCCTCGTTTCGTAAAACTTATTACATTTTCAAAGACTTCACAAATACACAACTGATTAGAACTTACGTCTCTCTGATATTATATCTACATTTGAGTGAGGTGGGAAGGGTGATGTGGCATTAACACAAGACAGAACAGGAGGGATATTAATAGGGTATTAAAAGTATCAACACAAGACAGAACAGAAACAATGGGTATTGAATAGAAGTGTTTGTAGAAAGCCTATTGGTCCATATTTCTTGATGCTTCTATATTGGAAATAGAAATAAAAATGAATTTTGGAGAAGTGATTTTTGATTTACCTCCAACAGTGAAGCGTAATGTACGAAAGATTGAGAAAATTCGTGTTAGAATTATTAATCTTACTTTTTCGGTCATATTTAATATATATATATATATATATATATATATATATATATATATATATATATATATATATATATATATATATATATATATATATATATATATATATATATATATATATATATATTATTAAATATGACCGAAAAAGTAAGATTAATAATTCTAACCCGAAAAAGTAAGATTATTAACTCTAACCCGAAAAAGTAAGATTAATAATTCTAACACCGAAAAAGTAAGATTAATAATTCTAACACCGAAAAAGTAAGATTAATAATTCTAACCCGAAAAAGTAAGATTAATAATTCTAACCCGAAAAAGTAAGATTAATAATTCTAACCCGAAAAATTAAGATTAATAATTCTAACCCGAAAAAGTAAGATTAATAATTCTAACCCGAAAAAGTAAGATTAATAATTCTAACACCGAAAAAGTAAGATTAATAATTCTAACCCGAAAAAGTAAGATTAATAATTCTAACAAATTATAGCCTCGGCTATCACCTCATTATGTCCGGTCGTGATGGTCAAGTGGATTAAGGCGTCTTGTACATACCAGTTGCGTTGCTTCTGGGAGTATGGGTTCGAGTCACTTCTGGGGTGTGAGTTTTCAGTTACATATGTCCTGGGGACCATTCAGGCTTGTTCGCATTTGTGTTCCTCACGTGTGCCCCAAAGAATGAGGTGATTTGGTAAAATGCTATGCCCAAGATAACTATCCGAGTGCCGGCGGTGGGGTGGTTCATATAGCCTCGGCTATCACCTCATTATGTCCGGTCGTGATGGTCAAGTGGATTAAGGCGTCTTGTACATACCAGTTGCGTTGCTTCTGGGAGTATGGGTTCGAGTCACTTCTGGGGTGTGAGTTTTCAGTTATATATATATATATATATATATATATATATATATATATATATATATATATACGAACAAGCCTGAATGGTCCCTAGGACTATATGTAACTGAAAACTCACATCCCAGAAGTGACTCGAACCCATACTGCCAGGAGCAACGCAACTGGTATGTACAGAACGCCTTAACCCACTTAACCATCACGACCGGACATAAGGAAGTGATAGCCGAAGCTATTTGAACCACTTCCCCGCCGGCACTCGGAGAGTAATCTTGGGCATAGCTTTTATCAAATCACCATCACCATTCAGGGGTGATGGTGATCTTGATCGCATTTGGGTATATATATATATATATATATATATATATATATATATATATATATATATATATATATATATATATATATATATATATATATATATATATATATATATATGTCGTACCTAGTAGCCAGAACGCACTTCTCAGCCTACTATTCAGGGCCCAATTTGCCTAATAAGCCAAGTTTTCACGAATTAATTGTTTTTCGACTACCTAACCTACCTAACCTAACCTAACCTAACTTTTTCGGCTACCTAACCTAACCTAACCTATCTTTATAGGCCTATAAGCCTATACTTGCATAAACCACAAGTGAAGATAAACAATCTTTGGACAA